CTACTATTGTCTCGGAAGGGCAGAATGCCTTTATCAGAGAAAGACAGATAGTGGACAATATCCTCATTGGACACGAGTTGATGCATTATTTGAAAATCAAAACCCGGGGTAAGAAAGGATACATGGCTCTGAAGGTTGACATGGAAAAGGCATATGATAGAGTCGAATGGTCCTTTCTATTGGCGGTTTTGGAAAAAATGGGCTTTAGCTCGGTCTGGCGTGGGTGGATTCGGGAGTGTTTACAATCCACTTCTTTCTCGGTCCTAATGAATGGGTCTCCTTCAGGATTCTTTGCGCCTTCTCGAGGGCTTCGTCAGGGGGACCCTCTTTCTCCCCTTCTCTTTGTGCTTTGCACTGAGGGGTTTGCTGCTTTACTCCGCAAAGCTATCTCGGAAAAGAGGCTAGCAGGAGTCAAGGTAGCACCCCGGGCCCCTCGCATATCTCATTTGTTCTTTGCTGATGATTCTTACTTGTTCCTCCGTGGTTCCCTACAAGAGTGTGAGAATCTAATCGAAGTGCTAAATGAGTATGAAGAGTTAAGTGAATTTGGAGAAATCGGCGGTGTGTTTTAGTAAGAACATCTCCTTGCCAGATCAGGAGTTCTTGGCGGCTATCCTTGGCGTGGGTGCAGTAGGGGTGCATGATAAGTATCTTGGTCTCCCTACTTTGATAGCTAGATCCAAGACAGCCACGTTCCGGTACCTGGAGGAGAAATTGCTGGAACGTCTTCAAGGATGGAAGCGGAGGACCCTTTCGTCGGCAGCTAAAGAAACTCTCATCAAATCGATTGCTCTAGCTTTGCCGCTCCATGTGATGTCCTGCTTTCGTCTACCATTGTCTCTCTATCGTCTCTTGGACAAGCATGTGGCTAGATTCTGGTGGGGGGTTGAAGAGGGGTGCTCACGGTCCGGTGGGTGTCCTGGCGGAACATGTGCAGAAGTAAGCATGAGGGAGGCATGGGGTTTTGTCGATTCGAGTTTTTTAATCAAGCTCTTTTAGCTAAGATTGGCTGGCAAATCCTTCATGAACCCCAATCCCTCTTAGCCCAGGTTTATAAGGGGAAGTATTTCCCGCAGGGATCTTTCCTTTCAGCCACGGCTCGTTCTCGGCCTTCCTGGGGATGGCAAAGCATTCTGCATGGGCGTCAGTTGTTGTCTGCAGGGTTACGGTGGCAGATTGGAAATGGGCAATCGGCCTCCTTACTTGACTCAAACTGGATTCCACAACTGCACCCTCTACCCCCGGTATATAATCCGCGGATCCTACCTGAGGGAGGGGAAGCAAAGGTATCTGCAGTCATTTGCCCTGGGGAATGTCGGTGGTGCGAGGATAAGATTAAGCAGTGGTTTGATCCTCCGACATGCCAAGCTATTCTGGCCATGCCTCTTCCACGGCGAAACATTGAGGATCGACTGATTTGGCATGCTACTGTTGATGGTCTCTTCTTTGTTAAGTCGGCCTATCACTTGGCAGTTCGTCTAGATCGGTTGAATGGGCGGTGGCGGACGCAAGTTAGTTGAATGTGTGATGCCAACATCCCTCCGAAATTGAAGATATTTGCCTGGCAACTCTTGAGCAGAATTCTGCCGACTACTGAGGCGTTAATCGAGAGGAAAATTGAAGTCCTTCCCCGGTGTCCTGTGTGTTGGGCCCAATCGGAAACGATGGAGCACATGTTCCTTGATTGTCCGGTGGCCAGGGCTTTGTGGACTCAGTCTGGTCTGGATCATCTTGGTGAGGGCTTGCCTCGACATACATTCCCTCTTTTCCTAAGAAAGTTGTTGGCTATCTTGCAACAACCCTCGCAGGTCATGGAAGTTATTGCTATCCTCTGGAGGATTTGGCGATCCCGGAATTGGGTGGTCTTTGAAGGGAAGCAGTTTGATATCCGTGCGCTGATGCGGCAGTATCATCAGCAGGTAGGGGAATGGTTGAGCTTACCTAAGGATCCCCGGCGCCCCTCTCTGTCTCCTCCTAGCACTAGTACAGTGGGTTTAGGTGGGGCAGGGGGTCCTGTGTGTCGGTGGGATGGAGCAGTCCGATCAGGGTCTCACTCTGCAGGAGGCTTTGTGCTCCTTAGTGAGGGTGGGGAGACCCTTTGGGCGGCTGGTGTTCAGTTCCCCCATCTGGATGACCCGATGGTGGTGGAAGTACTTACCCTTCGTGAAGCAATCCGCTGGTGTATAACGCAGGGTTTTGTGTCAATGAGGTTTGAAGGCGATGCCAAGGTGGTCATTGAGAAGCTTTGTCAGGCTAATGCGCGTGATGGTCGGATTGGGGCTCTTTTGGAGGAGATTCTGCAGGTTCTTAGGATTTATCCGGGTTTCATTGTACGATTTGTAGGTCGGGGTAGCAATAGGATAGCTCATAGTGTAGCTAGAAAGGCCCTGTCTTTGTTCCCGTCTACATGTCGTTATTTTGACTTTCAGGCCTGGCTGAATTCCAGGATGTAATTATCGAGTTGTTTCTATCAATATATGATTATCTTTTGTAAAAAAAAAAAGTAAATTGCATTACAATTTGAAAATTACGCACAATTGAAGGCAACATACGCACGACAATCACTCATTGCCCAACACAAAAAAAAACTCGACATTGTTAAGAAAACTAACGGGAAAATAAATATCATCGCTTTAAAAAAGCTCGACAATAGCTATGTTTTTTTTAACAAAACAAATTAAATTTGAAAAATACTTCCGAGCCCGATGTAATCCCTATTTTCATGGAAGAATGACACGAATATTATTTTTTTAGAAATTTACCACCAATATGGCGGATTAAAAAGTATTGACAAGTATATTGTGTTTTGGAGAAAAAGTTAGGCGAGACCACCTGAGACTGAGGTGCCACCACCTGAGTCTCAGGTTAATAGATGGGAAGAAAGTCCCAGGTGTTGGCACCTGAGACTGAGGTGTTACCACCTGAGACTGAGGTGGCACCGCGCAGAACAATCCTAATTCTAACCCTAAACCCTGAACCATGAACCCTAAACCCTGAACCCAAAACCAACGAATTTCGTATCAGTTATTCATACCACAAATGGCTAATAGGTAAGAGACATATTTATTTTTTAATTATATTATTCAAATGTTATTATGATTGTGTTTAGTTTAATTAGTGAGTTTTTCTGTAGTGATTTTAGAAGTTAGAACTAGTCGTTCGGTGGAAATCGGAGAAAGTAGAGGATAATTTGGGCGTCAAATTCGTTGGTGGTGGTAGTTTTCAGTTGACGATTTTTCAAATGTAATAGTTGTGGTTTGAAGTAGTTGTTGTTTTTCAAATAGTTGTTATGGTTTAAGAAGGTTGTTGTAGTTGTTGTTTTTCAAATGTAGTAGTTGTTGTTCTTGGTCAAATTATAAAATGTCCGAGTTGTTGTTTGTTATTTGTTGTTCAGATCGACAGCGATCACAGCCCGTTCGGCCTACTACGACCTTCCAGTTTAATCCGTCATTTCAGGTAGGACATCAGACAGGCGCCAGCGAGGTGTGGTACCGGAGACCATCTAGTGTATCAGCATGGTGGTCGTCGTGGTGATGATCGTTAGAGTTTTTTTTTTTGTATTTTTGTTATGTTATTATTATTTGGGATATGTATGTGGACTATTATGTGGACTATTTATGTGGACTATTCTTTGAACTATTTTTACATTCATGTATGATGTTATTAGCGATAACTATTCGGAACAACAAATAACAAAAAACAACTACGACATTTTATAATTTGGCCAAGAACAACAACTACTACATTTGAAAAACAACAACTACAACAACCTTCTTAAACCATAACAACTATTTGAAAAACAACAACTACTTCAAACCACAACTATTACATTTGAAAAACCGTCAACTGAAAACTACCACCACCAACGAATTTGACGCCCAAATTATCCTCTACTTTCTCCGAATTCCACCGAACGACTAGTTCAAATCTTCTAAAATCACTACAGAAAAACTCACTGATTAAACTAAACACAATCATAATAACATTTGAATAATATAATTAAAAAATAAATGTGTCTCTTACCTATTAGCCATTTGTGGTGTGAATAACTAATACGAAATTCGTTGGTTTTGGGTTCAGGGTTTTGGGTTTAGGGTTCATGGTTCAAGGTTTAGGGTTTAAGGTTAGAATTAGGATTGTTCTGCGCGGTGCCACCTCAGTCTCAGGTGGTAACACCTCAGTCTCAGGTGCCAACACCTGGGACTTTCTTCCCATCTATTAACCTGAGACTCAGGTGGTGGCACCTCAGTCTCAGGTGGTCTCGCCTAACTTTTTCTCCAAAACACAATATACTTGTCAATACTTTTTAATCCGCCATATTGGTGGTGAATTTCTAAAAAAAAATAATATTCATGTCATTCTTCCTATTTCCATTAACTTCAACTATCAATCTCATCCGATAGGGAATCTCATGGTTCTGATCATGGTTGTCATGCCACCTGATTGAACCTGGTTCAACCTGTGCCGGTCATGAAATCGGCATGACCGATATGATCGACTTACGCATTCTAAGCAAAATGCATCAATTTAATGAATTTAATTAATAAAAAATTAATTTATTATTCATTTTATGAATTTAATAGTAAAATTTGATGATATTTGTTGAATTGTAACTAAATTTTCCACAAATATGTTTTATATATGATTAAATACATTGGATATTAATTTTTTCACATTCTTTTAAACCGACATGAACCGGTACAAACTGGTTATACCACCGGTCATACCATTCCACTTGCTAAACCGGCACAACGGTATAAATCGGATTGACAACCTTGTTCCTGATGCATTTCTTCTGCAATCATGGGGACCTCTCCAGCATTCTTCCCACAAACCTATGATCCAATTATTGGCCGATCCTTGGTGTTAATGGTGACCATAACTTGCCAGTTGCCACAGCTTTCATTCTCAAAATCTGAAGAACTAGGCCCATTGGCAAAGGGACAGACCACCTGCAATAATTAGAACCCGACGTTTCAATTTGAAGCCAGCCCATCACCTCATCAACATATGTTGCCACAGACACTGGAGCACAATGCACATGAAGCCAACAATTAATCAATGATGGGCCACCTCGAGAAGACGCTAAGCAAAATTGGGCCAAAGCCCAAAAAGGAGAATCTCATTTGGAGCAGAATCATAAGAGCCAGGTACATACGAAATGCATATGCACTAATTAGACAACATATGATTTGATGTTTGGTACGTTTTCTTATTAAGCAGTAAACACAGAGTCCCAGACAAACACATTATGAGTTCGGTTTCAACTTTCAACACACGGACTGTAGTACAACATTAAGGGCACAGAATTGAAGCGTCCATTTCTCTCCACCTTGAATGGAATCATCTCTTTTCAACACGTCGCAAGAACATCGAGCTATGAGTGTTCGTCTTCCGATTTCTTCAAATGCTTGGCTTCACATTGAGACGGTTTGCTAGCTTCTGACCGAGAGACTTGTCGGCCTACATAAAGAACAGGAGATAGCTTAGACAAACAGTTCACTTTCATCAACATTGTTGACATGGTTATCTTACGACTTATGAGGTGGGTTTTTCCCCCTAACCTGTGACCAGTATGTGATCCAGATGCTGCGGATTTCATGGGTGACTCTGGGGTCGGAAAGGGCGTCGATCCATCTGCAGATAAATCTTTCTTGCCTGGAAAAAAAGAATAAAAGGTTAGGCACTAGTGTTACTCATGAGTTCATGATGGGAGCTGCCAGACGTTTATGATTCTACCTGTCGGGTGCCCAGGAGCGGTATCTCTCCCCAGGTTGCTTGAAGTTGTTCTCCTTCGCAATCACACACTGCACTCATTGAGGTAAAGCAAAGCCGAAACCAAATTTATGTTAAAAATAATCTTCGAACAAAACAGATGGAAAAGGCCATAATGGAACACAGTGAATGTATAACACAAGTAGTAATGCTGTTGTTAAACAGCCCCTGTTCAACGACTGCCCCATCAATAGTAGATACTGGAATGAAAAAATGAATGCAACATAAAGAAGAGCAGAGCTTACCTTCTCACGCTTGCCCGTGCACATTTGAGGAGGAATGGGGAATTGCTCCGCATGGCGAACTGGATCATACCTTGATGGGAAATAATTCACCTGAGAAGTTGCATCATAGAGTCCAATCAGAACATGAGCCAAATCCGAATTATATTTGGGTCTGGCCTGCTTTAAACCAAATATCGATGTGGTCCAATTGAATCAAGTAAATATGTTTGTCAAGAGCATGTAGAAATTACCTCCTCATCCCTATGCATGAAGTTCATGAGACCTTCATGGTGATTGTTATGATGAGCGCACTTAGGAGCATTAGCAGGGAGCTGCAGATAGTTTGGTCCAAGACGGTGCCTCTGGGTATCAGAGTAGGAGAAGACCCTTGTCTGAAGCAGCTTGTCATCCGAATAGTAAACCCCAGGAACCACAAGCGCAGGGCAGAATGCAAGCTGCTCATTCTCAGCAAAGAAGTTATCAATGTTCTTGTTCAAGACCAAGCGGCCAACCGGCTGAAGAGGAATGATGTCTTCTGGCCAGGTCTTGGTGACATCAAGTGGGTCAAAGTCGAATCTATCCTCATGATCTGGATCGATCGTCTGGATGAAAAGCTTCCACTCGGGATAGTTTCCAGCTGCAATCGAGTCATAAAGATCTTGGGTAGCATGGCTATGATTAGCACCACCAACTTTAATCGCCTCATCCTCCAACAGACACTTCACCCCACAAGTGGGCTTCCAGTGAAATTTGACATAGTAAGCTTTGCCCGACTTGCTGACCAAGGTATAGGTGTTGACACCAGAACCCTCCATGTGTCTGTAATCTTGAGGAACACCGAGGTCATCAAAGAGGAAGGTGAACATGTGCAGACTCTCAGGGTGATGGGAGAAGAAATCGAGGATTCTCCAGTTCTCCTGAATGTGAGACTTAGGGTTTGGCTTGAGAGCATGAACCATGTCAGGGAACTTCATCCCATCACGGATGAAGAAGACTGGGAAGTTGTTTCCAACCATATCAAAGTTCCCCTGCATTATTAAGAGCAAAGCAACATTAAGAACTCACAGAACATGAATCATTGATGGTCGAATGATTAAGGTGCCTAATGTTAGGCAGATATAACCATACGATTTAGTATTCAATAAATTACCACCTAGCAAAGTTTACATAATGTTATTAATGAATCCAGTACAGAAACAGATGTTTACAGGATGGAAAAAGAATCGAGAAGATAATTTAAAAAGGCACAGTAGAAAATACAGGCTACACATGAATCCATTCACACACGGTCAACCAAGAACCAAATGGGTGACCGATAATTATGAGTTTTACCTCTCTGGTATAGAACTTCACAGCGAAACCCCTAGGGTCTCTTAGAGTTTCGGGACTGCCACGCTCATGGATAACAGTGGAGAACCTAACGATCACAGGAGTTTGAACTCCAGGAGCTCGGAGGAAATCAGCACAAGTGAGATTAGAGATATCATGGGTGACCTCAAAGAAACCCTTTGCACTTGCTCCCCTGGCATGGACAACACGCTCCGGAATTCGCTCCCTGTCGAAGTTGGCTAACTTCTCCACCAGATGATAATCCTCCAGAAGAATTGGACCTGCCGAAATCAGAACAAGAACCAACAAGGTCAACCTCACTTCAGATACAATCGAGCCCATGTTCATACAAAATCACCGGTTGATCTTTACAAACACAAACCAAATGAGAATCACCGTAGTTCATACAATTAGCATCACAAATGGCATAACCCCATAAGCAATTCCCAGTTCCGAACCTACCAAAAAATCTCAAACCAAAAAATCAAAAAAGAAACAGGAGATGGGATGCACGTCACTGTAAACGCGAACACACATCGCTATTTAATAGCGCACCAGCTCACAATTAAACACTCCGAGAGCATAAAACAGTACAGACTAGAGACTAACAATTCAACAATCCCAAAAATAATCAACCAAACAGGGAAGCAGGGAAAAGCTAGAAACAAAATACCTCTAGGTCCAACGGTCATCGAAGAGTTGTTGTTCCATACTGGAGCGCCGGAATTGGTTGTGAAGAACGGAGAATTGAAAGCGCTCGAAGGACGATGCTGTAATCAAACCACGCAACCATCAATCAAAGAGAGTACTGAGAACACCAAATCAATCACTAAACCCGAAAACGAATCCGAAACCGAACATGGATTAGGGTTCTGATTAATCAAAGCAAGCAAATGGAGGAACGATCAATTATAAGGAGCAAGTGATTGAGCAATCATTACATACCCTGTAAGGATCCATGGCGGGAGAGAAGGGTTGCGGGATGAAAAATGGAGGAAAGAAGGAAAAGGAGAAGAAGATCAGCACCACCGATTGAAGCTCTGCGAATGGCGGATAATAATATCGAAGATTTTCAGTCTGTTTCTGGATTGGTAATAAATTTATAGGAGGTGCGTGGCTCACACAACCATTTTCAGATTTTACGGAACTTTTTCTTATTTTAGGGTTTTTTTTTTCTTCTGATTTTCCCTCGGAAATAAGAAACGTCTATCATTATCCACACTTAAATTAATTATTTCACTTTTTTTAAGAAACAGATTTATTTATTATTAAATAAAAAAGTGAAACAAGATAGAAAATTGCCTAATCATCATCATAATCGCTAGTTAAACGCTCCGCTTGTGGATAACGATACCGGTAGAAGAATATGCTCCTGAAGTCCTTTGGGGTCCAGATCGGGTCAGTAACTGATGGGTCAGTAACCCATCAGTAACCCCTTCTATGGTCCCCACGTGTCAGACACTTTTTTATTTAAATTAAATATGAAAGGGGCAGTACAGTAAAATTGCACTTTCTCCTATTTATTATAAGAGGCTGACCTTTGACCGTACCACATCAGCGCCTCCTTCTCTCTCCTTGCAAAACATTTAATTTTCATTCCCTTAATCTTTAACGGACGATTTCTCACTCGTTTTAAGTCGAAATTTAATTTTTTTTGCACAGTTAGATCAGATTAATTGTGCTCTTCAAAATGATATCCACTTTGATATTTTTTGGACACAAAAAAATTTGTCAGTTATTACCAGTCTATACCATATGGTATTGACTGTACCATATGGTATTGACTGGTATTAAATAAGAGCATACCATATGGTATGAAAATTTTTGCCACATGAATATATATTTCGTTACTACCATATGGTATAGTGTGGTAATATCAATATATATTTCGTTACCACCCAATACCATATGGTATAGTGTGGTAATATCAATATATATTCCGTTACCACCCAATACCATATGGTATAGAGTGGTAATACTAATATATATTTCGTTACCACCCAATACCATATGGTATAGTGTGGTAATATCAATATATATTTCGTTACCACCCAATACCATATGGTATAGTGTGGTAATATCAATATATATTTCCTTACCACCCAATACCATATGGTATAGAGTGGTAATACCAATATAGATTTCGTTATCAACCAATACCATATGGTATAGTGTGGTAATATCAATATATATTTCGTTACCACCCAATACCATATGATATAGTGTGGTAATACCATATGGTATAGAGTGGTAATACCAATATATATTTCGTTACCACATAATACCATATGGTATAGTGTGGTAATACCAATATATATTACCTAAAAGAAAGGGGAAAAAACAAAAGGAGGGAGAGAAAAAAAAAACTTGTCTTCTGTCTCATCTCATTTCATCCACAACCAAAGAACACCAAACGCCAAAAAAGGAGAAAGATCGAAATTAAAGCCAACGAGTTGATGAAGAGAAGAAACGCAATTAAAGAGGGTGACTTCAATTTTTATTAGTCGATTGCTAGAGAAAAAAAATAAAGATGGAAGAGAGCATATCTAGATTTGAAAAGGAGATTGTGAGAGAAAAGTAAGAGAGAAGGAATAGAGAAATGATCTTAAAAGAGATTGAGAAAAGGAAGAGAGAAGGAAGAGAGAAAGAAGAAAATAAAGTGGCAGAGAAAAGTTTATTCTTTCTCTTTCATTGAAAAGTCAGCATTGAAGTGCGGAATAAATAAAAAAAATTAAAAATACAAAAACGGACAAAAATGCCCCTCCCCACCTCCGCGTCCAGCCAACCACCTAATTGCTCCATTCCCAGATCTACGGTTCCCCTGTATTTACTGATAGCTCAGTAACCATTGGTTACTGACCCTATCCCAAACCGTTCTTTGGGGTTATTGTATAATATATTACGCCTTATTTATTTAATCAATAGTCTATTTCATAAATAAATACGAAAATTTCTAAAATTTGTTAAAATTAATTTAGATTTCGAGAGTAGATCAAATCACATTGTTGCATGTTATCTCACCGATAAAATGATAATCAACACGTCAATAACATAATTATTTTTTCAACATTCATCAATTTTCTGGTAGCGACGATTCTAGATTCACTAAGTGTATGTAGAATGAGAGGCCAGAATGCGGGAGCGGTTACGGTGAGTACTTTTTTATAGTAATCACCGTGGTTACTAAGGGTAAATTGGGTATGGAAAAATAAATTATATTAATTAATTTTTTAATAAATTACATTTAAGGCAGTTACAAAAATCTATTAATTAAAAATCTCTCTTTCTCTCACTTCCGTAATCTCCAGCCAGATTTCCTTTCCATATTTTTCTCAATCTTTCTGCCAAAAAAAAAAAAACCGAAATCAGTACCAATCCATTAGACAAACACTACCACTTTGAAAAATATCAATACCATTGCAGAAATAAATCTATACCATTACACGAAAACTACCATTGCAGAAATAAATTTATACCATTACACGAAAACTACCATTCAAGAAATAAAAACACTACCATTTCACAAAACATCAATACCATTCAAGAAATAAAAACACTACCATTTCGCAAAACATCAATACCATTCATGAAATAAAAACACTACCATTTCGCAAAACATCAATACCATTGCAGATTTAATCACTACCAATGCGACAAAATCGATACCAATGTAACAAAATCAATACCAATGCGACAAAATCAATACCAATGCGACAAAAACTATACCAATACGACAATAACACTACCACTACGAAAAAAATGACTACCATTTAAAAAAAATGACTACTGAAAAAAAATGACTACCATTTAAAAAAAAACATACCATTCCAATGGAATTCCTCCTTCCAATTGCAGAGACGATGGTGAGCACGACGAGGAAACTACCGGGATTCTCCTCATCCTCCTCGATCCGAACCGTCTCCTTCTTGACATTGACGTCGTTCCTGATCGTGACGGCGGCGACAGGCAGGGGAGCGGGGAGCTGAGGTGGCCTGCAGGCAGGGGAGCGGGGAGCAGAGGTGGCCGTCTCCTTCTGGTGCTCGACGTACGACGCGGCCGGCAGGGGAGCGGGGAGCTGAGGTGGCGGCGGCGGCGAGGGGTAAGGGAGGGCGCCATCGGGGGGAGGGTGAGGGGAGGGAGGGACGCCATCGGCGGGAGGGAGGTCCGGTTGGGGTGGTCGGAGGGAGGAGGGAGAAGGGAGAAGACGGCGGCGGTTGTGGGAGAAGGGAGAGACGGCGGCGGTTGTGGGGTTGTATTAGGGTTTGAATATAATATATAGAGTAATTAGGTGTGGTATGTTTTTCATTTCCTAAATTACCCTTATCTAATCTTAATCGTTAATTTAAAAATATAATAAAATAAAGATAATGAATGGTATAGATGTTAGTAGCCACCGTGATTACTCAAAATTGAGTAACCACCCTAACCTATTCCCCAGAATGCGTCTAGTAAACCAATGGAGAGTTCCATTGAGTCAAGACAAACCACAGGATTATGACTGATTTCAATGCTTTGTTTGGTCACAAAGATGCTGATTAAGCACATTAGCAAATACACGTAACATTATTGTTCCAACACAACGCATGTTATACCACAAATCAGTCTTTTACTCCATCATAAAAACACAGCCCAAGTTCCTTCACAGCAATACATCTCTCGTAGTATATTATTTTGTCCAAATGCACCAACAACTGAATTGGCAATGACAGACTTTTTTTTTTTATAGCAAATAAATTTTGTCAAACCAAGTATAGAACGTGTGTGTCTCTAAAAAAAAGTATAAAACGTGTCTATCTTTTCACAAAACAAATACGGATTTCTACCAAAAAAAAAAAAAAACACATACGAATGGAATTTCCAACACCTTTCACATACGTTTAGAGCTTTTATTTTGGTGTACGAAGACTGGAAGAGGTTGTTGGCTTTATTGAAAGTGACCAACGCCATTGGCTTCGCCGCTTCGGGAGAACGATAAACACCGTTGATATTTTCCCTACGAGCACTTCTACTATGCTATATAGTATTAGTGTTTTAATGTACAATTTGAAGTTGTACCATAACATTAAATGTATAAGTTTAGATTATACCATAAAAAAATTTGTACAATTATGTTATGATACAACTTTACAACTTGAAGTTGTACCATCACATAAATGTACAAATTTAAGTTGTACCATAAAAGAATTTGTACAAAACGTATAGGTACAATTTGAAATTGTACCATAACGTTAAAGGTACAATTTCAAGCATAGGCGGAGGGAGACCCGTTGGGCCTTGTCCCGGGACAGGGGTAAATTTCGGAGGAGCAAAAATATGTCATATATGTATATTGGTGATGCAAAACAATGCTTATAGGTAGTATTAGAGTATTTTTGTCACTACAGCACAACTCATTACTTAATCATAAATTGTCATAAAATTAATTTATTATACTATAAACGAAGTCTAATTGCAATAAAGATCTAATCGGATCTCTTTTCTCCTTATGCCTATTCGATTTTTTCCCAACCCTGAAATTGTCTAGCGACAACGACAATTTCACTAGTTTTGATTCTACGAATTACAACTGCAAATGTAAAAAGAGCATTTTTCAGCTTTGAGTTATATTAAGAACAAGTTTTCAAGTAGATTTGGCGACCAATTTGCTAATGCTAATTTAGTGAGATACATTGAAAAAGACTTATTTAATAGTGTAGACGATAAATGTTTTTGCGTTTCTTTCACAATATGAAATCTCTCTGTGATTGTTAAAACCAATGATTGTATAGGCGATTATTTTTAATCTATGAATGAATTATGCATATATAATTAATTTTAATTATTTTTTATTTAATTATTTTTAATTAAATATTTATATATTTATATTATGAAAAGAGGACAAGTGTGATTTAAAATGTTGACTCCGTCACTAATTTCAAGTTATACTATAAAGACAAAAATTTATAGCACCGATATTGTAAAATTCCTCTTTTCCTATATGGTTTTCCTTTATTCTTCTTCTTTAAAAAAAAAGTTTTATTGTTGGAAAAAGAAAAAGGGAAAATAATTGAGAACGTCATGATTTTCATAAATTTCCTTATCCTGCAATTTTGGTGTTATGCTCTTCGAGGCGCACTGATGGGCTGAGCATGAAATAGGCCACTCTTGTAGCGACGCGTAGGATAGGATGCACCTTGAAC